AGAGAGAGAGAGAGAGAGAGAGAGAGAGAGAGAGAGAGGAAAACGAGGAAAGAGGGTGAAAAGGGGCGGGGGGTGATCGGTACGAGCTTCTGCCTCAGGAGTGTCATGCCCCGAGCCAAATAGACGTGTTGCGCCGGTGTTCACCCAACTGATGGACCGTTGTCGAAGCGCGCTGGCGAGGCCTCGTCTATGTTGAGGGCACACTCTACTCTGCATGTGTTTTGGCCTTTTATGCCCGCGCTCCAAGTCTGCGTCCTGTGTTGTTTGAAGCTTGTAAAGTTGATCGAAGGCGGACGCCGTTCATAGGACGTCTTTGGCGAGGGAGAATGGGATATGTGTAACTAGAATTGCATTCCCGGAATATCTCTTTAATAAAGTGCATACGCGAGAGAGGTAGCCTTGCTGTTGCATGCAAGACAGAAAAGAGGGGGCTATTGATAACCGAGGATACCAACGTACGGGCGAACGTTTTTCTATCAGAGGCCAACGGAAGACACCTTCTCTGTAAGCTAGTCACGCCTATCCCCCCCACTTCGCGCTTGCCCATCGCGGTGCTCCTTGCCGTATGAACGCAACCTCTCGCTCTCAACAGGCCAACTTCTACTACAGGCGATCGAAGAGTCTGGAGGCCAGCATGAACGAGATGAGCCAGGTAATACACAGAAAAGAGACGAGCAATCAGACGTCGTGTAAGGTGTGGGCGCACTGAAGTTTCGTTGCTCGTGCGTGAGCCTCGACAGACATGCAGACAACCACGCACGCGGGAAGACAGGTAGCGGGCGTTCATCGTGCGGTGCGCGCGCATGGCAAAAACACGCACGTTTCGCAAGCGCGGTTCAGTTCTTGGCTCAACCGAAACCCCTGCGACACACAAAGACGCGGTGTTCAGGAGATGACCCTCTGGTCATTCGTTGCTCGTCGTCCAACAAGCGAAGCAGTAGCATCGGTCGGTTCAGCGAAGACTCGAACAACTAGCCTTTCCCTTCCTTGCTCCCTGACTCCCACCCGGCCATGTCCTTCCTCCTCGTTCTCGACGTTGCCGCACCGCTTTTGCGTCGCTTGTGCTTTCTTGCAACCCTTTGCGATACACGACGTTTTTGTGATTCTTTGGGGGTGTCACGTTCCTTCGATGATACCGGTGGACGGGATGTTTTTGCGTTGGTTGCCGGGGGGTGTACAGGGGTCGCGGATGAGCGAGCAGCAGAACAGCGCATCCAGCGGGAACCTCAGCACTCGGAGCGATTCGCGTATCGTTCGCAGGTCCAGCGATCAATCGTAGAGAACTGCAGCTGCGACTAGCCGCTGCCGTAAGCGACGAATTGTTGTTTGCCCCCCTAGGGCCAAAGAGAAATCGCCGAACGCAGCGAAGAGGTTGTAGAGCCCACTGGGTGTCCGAGGAACAGCAAAGCCGCCCTAAGGTGTGTGGCACACTACAGCGCATCACGAACGGGAGACGGGTCGTATGTACCCCAGGCGTGCTTCGCTTTTCTCGGACATGCGCTGCCGCCGCCGCTGCTGACAACGCAGGGGTGGGCATACGGCACGTGAGGACCGGACCGGAGTAGAACGTGGTGGGAGTCCTAATCGGGGCAACGATACACCCTGTCTCGCGCATGTATTTGGTTTAGGGATGTGCTGGGATGGCAAAAGAGGGAGCGTAGCCATAGGCGGGCAATTAGGCGCCCTGGTTGGAAGGTGCGCGTGAGAGACAGGTGCGTGTGTTGCTTGCGTGATGATGACAGCAAGTGACGAAAGTGAGCAGGCGAAACCGTGATCGAGGGTGTGACTCTTTGTTGCCCGCCTTTGCTGCGTGTAGTTGGTGTCCGCCTGGACACACACTGTAATAAACGCTATGCGATTGGCTGAAAGGGGTATGTTCCCCCACCGTTAACGCCACGGCGTTGGTTTTGCGTTAGGGTTTGATTTGAGAGACGGCGTGGCGACGAATAGGGGAAACGCTGACGGTGAATGGGCGGCGGGGGACGGGGAGAAGGAAAGTAATTTTGGGCGGGATATGCAGGTACTTCGCGGGATGACAGTACTTGTTGTGACATTGATAAGGGCTCTGCAGAGATTTTTGCGATGTCCGGGCAAAGGTTTGCACGGTCGAGGGCGAAGAAAACGCCCATTGCTGCCGGGGGAGGTTTTGGTGTGTGAAGAGGATAGACAAAAGGAGGGATCACGAAGAAGAGGGGGGGAGGGGCTCCGTTGTCCTTGGGGCAGAGAGAGGAAAAATGGCTGACTCCCTACGAGGAGACGTTAGATGAGGCCATTGCTGAGTGCAGCCGACAGGCAACGGTACAACGAAGCTCAAGAAAGCTGTTCTTGTCCCGATGGTGTGGTCTGCGAGTCAAGTAACTTTCGACCGGAATGGGCTGGAGTTGGATGGAAAGTGCAGGTGTTGAGATTCTTTTTTTTGTGAATAGCTAAAATAACAGTCTCAAAGTGGATGCGCGAGCCCAGTCCTTGTTAATGTCCGGCTGGAAAGCTGTTGTATCAATGTATCAGCTTTTGCCAGCCTTGTTGTGTACGTTGGGACACGAACCTCGGGAGTTGCATGCAGGGGCGAACAAGTGATGCTTTCATTGGGTGCGTCTATTGTGCATTTGGCTGAGTCGGAAGCGATGTGTGACAGCTCCAGAAATTTTGAGTGGTGAAATGGGAGGGAAGGAGAGAAGTGGGGGTGAATCAGTGTGTGTGCCAAGCAGGTGTGATCTAAGGAAAATGGTCTCAAGACTACAGAACGTACGTGAACGAGCATTCTACACTGATTAGTTGGACAGGAGGTGCTTTTCATAGCAACACAAATTGCATCCCACGACCAGGCAGCAAACAGTCGCGCACGCTCTCTACACGCGCTCGGCAATGGCGGTGCATTGCGAGTTAAGGGGCGCGTGCTTGCTTCTCTTAGATGCACGACGACGCGTTTCGACATTACCTTTTATCCTAGCCCGTAAAACGGCGACAATCTGCGGGCAGAAAGGGCTACTGGAGCGAAACACGAAGACGCAAAATAGCACGAAGGTTCTCAATCTGGGTTCACGTCACTTTTGAGGTAAAATTGTCTTCGAAAGCGACACAGCTGTCCCCGACTATGGGTCCTTGGACAAGCGGCCAGACCCCGCGTCGGAGCCTCACGCGAAGGGGAGGGGGCGAAGCCATGAGCGCTATATTATATTGCTTGGTCCGCATCGTCGTCCCCGCCGACGCTGGCCACAGGCTTCGCGTCCGTAGCGGGCCTCTCGTCGGGAACAACGAGCACGCTGGTAGCAGCGACTGCCGGCACCGACCTTGTCGCCCTGTCGTAGCACCGCGCGCACCACCACACCGGAGGGGCGACGAGAAGGAGCAGGTCCAGGACGAGAAACATAACCCCCCACGCAAAGGTGCCGGAGCTGCAGGTCACCTTGCCGTCGTCCTTGCCCTGCCCGCCGCCGGCCTCGACCGAGTCCACCCGGGCGAGCGACACCAGCAGCCCCGCCACCAGCCCGAGGTGCAGCAGGAAGGCCAACAAAAGGGTCGGGAACAGCCAAGTCCCGGCCAAGATGCTGAACCGGTGCCGGTTGATCCGGAAGCAGCCCCCGCCGAAGACGGCGCACATGAGCACGAGCCCGTCCAGCACGAGCACCGTGCCCACGGGCTGCTCGCAAGAGCCCGGCGCGCCGACGCGCCTGCCCCCGGCCACCGCCTTGAACAGCGGGGGCATCGCCATCAGGGCGACGGTAAGGTGTGCGCGGATGCGGTCCGGCAGAGAGGGCTCTCCCTCCCTGGTCCCTCCACGCGAGGCCGGGTTGAGGTCGTGGTCGTCTTCGTTCGCCTCGAGATCGTCCCCCTCCAAGTCCGGGGGGTGCGCCTCCTCCGCCGAGATCTTCTGGAGCATCGTGGATCGCCAGAGCCCCGGCAGGGGAGGGATGCGCGTCCGGTACCGGTGGAACAGCGCGACGAGACCGTCGGGGAGCTCTCGCGCGCCGCCGCTGATCTCTCGCACGAGAGCCTGGGCGGGGGCCGAGGTGTCGATGTGGAGGACGAGGGAGTAGAAGAACCCCCGGATGTTGACCACGTCCTCGTGCAGCGCGGCCTGCTGACCCACGTACAGCTTTGCGAGGAACTCCAGCAGGATCTGCTTGGGCAGTGCATGCGGTTTCGTCGTAGTTTTCGTTGTTTATTGTCCCGAGGACGAGGAAACACCGAAATGCGGAGGACTCGAGGGGAGAGAGGCCTGTCATGTCAGAACTACTGTATATGCCCCACACCTCCACCGAGTGAAGGAGGCCTGGACGAATAAATTGCTGGCGGGCGGACTTTTTCCGTGGAAATCGGTCGTGTGCTGCATTTATAAGGTGGATGGTGTGGTGTTAAAATGCACTGATGTACCAGGTACACGACGTCGTTGTGATTTGGTCGGTGTACCATCATCATGCAGCTGTGTGGCGCGCTCATGCAGCAGTGTGCCGCACAATGGTGGTATATCTTTCGTGCGATGGCTTCAGCAATCGCCTCCTCGACGCATCATAGTTCCACCAAAGGCGTGCCTGGTAATTTCCTCCATTCGTTTCGAGTGTGGGTACAGAAACGATTCCAATATTTAGCTTTCCGGTGACACCCTTTTCCTCCAGTCACGGCATCCTCCACGCACTCTCCAAATCCCCACCTCTGGTGGTCCAACGCTCGCTCGTAGACAACGGACGGCCACGACAGCGGGCGAAAGCTGCAGCACGAAGAGTCGAAGTCTTCGACACAAGCCGAACCCAGCCTCCGAATGCCCCGCGTCTTGCCCCAGTTGCATCTTCCGGGGAGGAACATTTGTTGCAAAAAAATCATCAGCATCGGTCGTTTCTCAGGCGATGTTGTCTCTAACGGGACTAGTTCGAAACGGTGAGTTACCGTATGGCCTTCGTATTCAACAACGTGACAAATAAGCCCCGGTGTTTCGCACCAAAAACCTCCAGATCCCCCATCCGTTTGAGTCGCTTCAACTTACCAAACCTATCAGCAAGCGGCAGGCGTCCTCAAGAAAGTTCGGGTCTGCCAGCACCCATACAGCGGCCTCTGCTGCCCGGGATCGTAGGAGCAGAATCTTGGCCTTCGCAGCGTCCTCGATATTACGGGGTGCTCGAAGAGCGGCCATCGACAACTCCTGCAGCGACGTTGGCAGAATGCGCCGAAAGTCGGCGTTGGATTGCCCACGGAATGAATGAATGAAGGAGGATGCAAGGAAGGAAGGAAGCGGGTTAGGAAGAAAGGAAGGAAGAAAATAATGTTGCTGCTGATGCTGCTGATGCGATTGTTGTTGTTGTTGTTGTTGTTGTTGCGGTATAGCTCGCTTGGAATACGCTAGGATTTTCGATTACAGAGTGGATTCCGCCCTGGCTGGAAATCATAGCATGACACCCTGGACGACCATGTCGTGCACGATAAAAGGCTGTGCCGGCACCGTTCATTCTTCGTCGCTTTGAATATCGGCACATTTTTCTTCAAGACCACCTGCATCCCCGCCGCCCCACCATGTTTTTTTGCGACCTCCCGGCTACCAAACACAAGTCGGTGAGTTTTCTACCTCCTCGCCTTTCTCCAGGTGTGAGCGTCACTGAGATCTCTACTGGACGGCCATGCAAGATAACTGCTGCGCTTCCGCCGCCCCACCGACCCCACCCCTCGCCCCGCTCTTTGCCTCTGTAGGAAAGCAAGCAACAGTAGCACATGGTACAACGGCAACGTTGTAGTTAGTGACCTGATGTTTTTCACCTTGAGCGCATTCACTCGGGTCGACAGCAAGCCGTTTTCATCCTGTAGGGTCCGCACCAGCTTTCCCTCGGCACTCTCCGGATCTTTCGGCCACGACACCTGTGTGTAAGGTAGGGGCATCGCGGCGTGGGGAAGTACATGCCTCGCCCCAGATTCGCCCTAGACGTTTGGCAGAGAAGCACAGGAAATGGTGATAGGTGGTTCTACTTTTCTCGTTTCGATCGTTGTTTCCAACTTTGCGACCAACAGTAGCACGCACACCCTCAACAACACTACCACATGCATAGTGACAACAGCGGCAACACGAAGCAAACAATCCTCATGTCGTCGACAGCGATGGCGCCCTCGAGGCATTCCAACACTGAGCGACAACCATCACCTGAATGGCCAGCGCTAGAATTGTCGGAGGGGGCATGGCACCCATGCCGCCGCCGCCGCCGCCGCGATGGCCACCGCGCTTCGTTCGAACAGGTTTCAAGTAAGGGATTACTACTTCGGTAGAAGTGCGATCGCCACTTTCACCCGCGCCTCGGACTGGGTCCTTGACGGCTTTGTGCTCGACCCGATGTGGGGGCGCCACCTTCAGGGCGTCACTGGTCAAGCAAACCTCGCCTACCGTCGTCGCGGTTCAACGTGAGCACGGGGCAGAAGAACAACGTCCGTGTGTACACCGTTTGGTATTCCGTTGTGATTGATGGGTATGATACCTGTGTTTCGATTGTTTTAGGTACTCGCTGTCACAATCGTTGTCCTGGTCGTTGTCGTTGTCGTCGCTTTTGTTTTGAAAAATCTCCTAGGGGAAATGTTTCATTAAAGCCCTCACGACGGGGGGAGCAGGCCCTCTGCCAAATAGCAGCACACATGCGCTTAAATCGTAATGGAAATAAACACCACTCGTTCTCCCAATAGGTGCGGGAGCTCATTTGCTCATGTTATGCGTACTGCAAAACGGCGTCGAAACCAAGACGAAGAGAGCGAGGTGCAGACGCTTCCCGCTCCCAAGTACACGATCTCCCGATGGCGGCTCGTTCGTCGGTGCGCCACCAGCTTTTCTTGTCTTTCCAGTGCAGTCCGCTACTGCTACAGATATGCAAGCACACAACAAAACGGGTGATGCGCATACCGAGATAGTCCCCTTGCCCGTGCAGATCGTGGTCCCACATCTCGAACCGAATGCCATAGCCGTCGGCATCTAAGCCCGGAGCGTTCGCGTCTCCTCCGCCAGGTGCTTCCGGCGACAAAAAGAACGTTTCGTCCCAGACGGGCGACAGGGTCATTGGGATGACCTTCGTACGGTGAACTTCGGCGTTCCTAACAAACACCTGACAAACAAGAGAACCGGGCGAGGGGAAAAAAAACATGAATTTAACGAAGCCCTACCCTTCGAAACCTTCAAGTCACCGAATGATAAGGAAACAGCGGGAAATGGTTTGCCCCGCAACGGCACGCTGCCGTTGACATCGCATCACCATCCTCAACCTCCCCTTTCCGCTCGCAGCTAGTGCGAAGAAAAACAAAAACCCCAAAAACTGGGTGCTTACTTTAACGAACGGATCGGAAGTTCCCAGGGTATCGGCCGCTCGGACATTACGCGCAGATTCCACACGGACCAACACCTGTAGCAGGGTGTCCAACACGACGGGGAAATGTTGGTGAAGTATTTTCTATGTTGGGGCAAGGAAAGGTCGGAGAGAGGACAGACCAGTCAACTGCTTCTTCACGTGCGACAAGGGAATGCTACGAGTTGATGGTGGCATGTGTTGCCACCCTCTCAGGTCGGGACGACCTCGCACGATTGGTCTACACGTGCATCATCACAACAGGAGCACGTAAGCTGTAGAGATGGTTTGCATAGTAGCACGGTCGCTTTCTGGATATCCTACCACTCCGTCCAGCCCGACACCGCTGTCCGGAATTGCTATGTATACACACTACTCTTCTCGCAGGGCAAAACGTGACACAGACTCTTACTCTCCTCGATGTGTAATATTGGTAGCACCAATTGCCTCCTGAGGCGTACACAAAGGCCACATGAACCTCTCTGCCCAGTCCCCTGCCCTCCTCGTTCTCCCTCAACTAGAGGCATGACGGCTTCCTACAACCAAAGATCGCCCTAGCCAGTCGACAACAAGCCAGCGGACACACATTTTGCGGGATGGCAACGACGATCCCAAAGAGTGTGGTGATGTCATGTGCGCATGTATGTCCGTAACCCTCGAGAACAACACGCCCGCCTTCGCCACATCGGGTGGAACCTCGTGTCTCTATACGGTAAAAAAAAAAACAGAGACGAAAAGAGCGCACACAATACTGCTGACGTGCTCTTTACTTTTCGACGAGCCTTTGTCGCACGCATCCCGTTGACAAAGATCGTATCACGACCGTACATGCTTTCCTTTCGTGGATGGTGGCGTGCAGTCACCTAACCTTTGAATGCATCGGTCTTGGTTCGTCCATCAAGTCGACGGCGGCGGAAATCGCCCGCTCCGCCGGTGTGGGCCCTCCGTGAAAGACTTCGACCGCATCCACGTAGATGTTGCTTCCCCTGCCCTCTCCCCCGCTCTGGATAGCAACACGCAAGTGCTCGCTGCGGAAAGGGACTATCTGGCATTCTAGTGCCTGGAGGTTTTTAGTTGTAGTCAGGTTGAGTTGGTTCCCCCCCCGATCAACGAGGGTAGGGAGGCGGGCCGAGGGAGGGCTATGTGAGAACAGTGATACCGAATGGAAGGTGGCAGGAACCTGGGGCAAGATTAATCATCATTCAATCTAGGTTGAACCACAAGACTGTACCCACACATAGTTGCTCACGCCTGACGCTATTCCTTTGCATGATGCTACCCATGACACGGCGGGTAGGATTGTTCGGGCACGGTCCGTACTGCCTCTGGATACTCGGCCAGTGCAGACGAAGCTACGTCCTGTTCTGCCAGGTACTCCTACCATCGCCACTCCCCCTGATGAGACTCTCTCAACACCGCCCTCCTTAAATACGGTCCTGTTGACCCTCACCCCCCTTCGGGCCACGCCCAAACTTCGCTCATGGTGGGCTGCCGCACCTACCTCCCACTCGCCAGTCTTCACCGCCGGTGCCGACATCTCTTTCCCATCCCGCATGTCCCACAGCACCAGCCTCGTCGTGACGTTGCTCTTCGACCCCTTTCTCCCTGCGGTCCAGTCCGTCATCATGGTCAACCTCGAACCTTTTCTCCCAGCACCCTCGGCCTTTGCTCCGGCCCCGTCCCCCGCCCCGCCTCCCTCCTCTTCGTGGAAAACCTTCGCCTTGACCACGTACAGCCACCCTTCCTTCACGGGCGTGTCGACGTACGCCCCGCCTGCGAGTCCGGCAGGAACGACAAGGCAGAGGCTGCGAAGACCCGTGAAGCAGCGAGTGGGCGACGGCGAACACCTGTGTGGTGCCGGCGGCGGGGCATGCTTGGCGTGTTGTGGAAGCATGGCAGACCGTGGCTGTGGCCATCTGGGGCGTGGGGTGGTCACGCAAGAAATCATCAGAGATTTGTTGTCTACAAAAATTCAATTGAGGGGAAAGGGAAGAAGCGTTGGGCGCATGGTTTGAGTGACTTTCGATCGACAGACTGAGGCCTCTCGGGTGACGCATCACGTTTTTCAGTTCCCATCACCAACGCCAGCCACATAGCACTCCACAACAGCAACAAAAACAAACGTATGGTCTGCTCCCCAGCCCCGCTCGGACCTGATATAATCTAAGGCGGTAGAGCTACCCCCGGCACCAGCGCCACCCCCGCCGGCTACCCCAACGTTCTCCGGCCCCAGCCCTTCAAACGCGGTCCACTTGATGTCTTCCTCCCCACCGTCGAAGAACCAGGCCTTTTCGTACTCCGCCTCTGGCAGTTGGACCGGGTCGGAGACGATCGAAGAGCCGGGAACGAGCATCCTTTCCGCGGAGATCGAGGCGACGAGGAACTGGTACACCTTCCCCGGCTTGAGCCCGACGATGACGGCCTCGGCCTCGTGAGAGGGAGCCTCGCCGTAGGTCACCTTAGTGTTGGATTTCAGTGTTTGTGGCTGGTGATGATGGTTTCGTTGGTGGTGGTTGTGGACGGTGTTTTCGTTGTTCGTCGGTATGAGGGCGGAAACTGCGACGGTCTTCATCTGTGTCGTAGCAGGGCGTCCATGGCACGGTACGTCGCGTGGTAAGTGGTCGGGCCGCGGCCATAAGGAGTCAATATCCACCATCATGCCGCACCCTCACAACTATCGCCGCTAATCACCGATGGCGCAGTATGGATTGACTCGTTTCGCTCTATTCCTGTTGGTATCGCTTCATATATTCTGGTGGAACGAAAATATCGAAAGCAAGGAAACCCGTCGTCGCTCCGGCGGTTCCACTCAAGGCGCGCGCAC